CATTGTTGTCCCTGTCACGTGCACACAGGTGCGTTGTTGTCCCTGTCACGTGCTCACAGGTGCATTGTTGTCCCTGTCACGTGCACACAGGTGCGTTGTTGTCTCTGTCACGTGCACACAGGTACATTGTTGTCCCTGTCACGTGCACACAGGTGCGTTGTTGTCCCTGTCACGTGCTCACAGGTGCGTTGTTGTCTCCGTCACGTGCACACAGGTACATTGTTGTCCCTGTCACGTGCACACAAGGTGCATTGTTGTCCCTGTCACGTGCTCACAGGTGCGTTGTTGTCCCTGTCACGTGCTCACAGGTTCATTGTTGTCCCTGTCATGTGCTCACAGGTGCATTGTTGTCCCTGTCACGTGCTCACAGGTGCATTGTTGTCCCTGTCACGTGCTCACAGGTGCATTGTTGTCCCTGTCACGTGCTCACAGGTGCATTGTTGTCCCTGTCATGTGCTCACAGGTGCATTGTTGTCCCTGTCACGTGCTCACAGGTGCATTGTTGTCCCTGTCACGTGCTCACAGGTGCTGTCACGTACCGGTTACTGAGTCTGCGGCACTACAGAGGTGTGTATTGAGTCGTTGACACTGCACAGGGGTAATGAGTTGTCAACCATCGATGATGACTTTTTTGGACCAGCCGTCCAGCCTCCAAACTGAGTGTCTGGTGCGGTGTGCACGCATCGGCACTGCGGAGATGGAGGTGACAAGGACACGGGGCTCGCCACATCACAACGTGCGAGCCTCAATAGGTGCTCGCTAACAGCATTTGCTTCAGAGGCTGTGCCGCTCTGTGCAAGTGTGCAGACTGTGACACTCAATTTTGATGATGCAATGTGCCAGAAACATTTCATAAATTGACTTTGAAAATAAATTAGTTTATCTCACTGTAGTAATTTTTGATGGGGTTTTTTTTTTTGCAGGGGTTTGTCTGTTACTCAATATCCATTGATAGTTAACTGTTCATGTTTACATTTTTAAACTGATCATCAGAATTTCGTTTTTTAAATGTAAAATTCATCAGGACCCATGGTGTGAAGTGCAGTCTTCAACTCTAAGTGCGTCAGTCTCTCTGGACTCTGTATTTATGTGCTGTGAAGAAGGACTATCACCCGACAAGTCACCTATTTTTCTATTTTGAGTCTGCGGTGTTATTGACAATTGTGGTGTTTTTTTCATTTTTAGAGATGTAGGTTTTGGATTGACTCGTCTCATAATTCTGTCCATACAATAAGTATCACTTTGTGGAAAAGTAAACATGAGCTGTATACTGGCCCAAGCCGTGGGAATGTGGAATTTCCACTGCTCGCACTAGGCAACCGATGACGATAAGTGCCTCTCCCACGGTAGGTTCAGTAGGAAGACAAGGATATTCACTCTTGATGATGATTATAGGGCAATATCATACACGGTGATGATTATTATTAAAACAAAATCATGACAATTCTGCTGATGGGTGATTACAATAATCCGTGTTAATGACGATTGAACATAATTGATGACGATGGCAATAATGAGGGCTAACAATAGATGGTGGCGATGACTCATCCCTGCATATACATTTTATGTTTTCATTATTCTCTACCGGCTGACGAGCCTGCACCACACACGCTTATTTCGCACTGCACGCAAAGCGCACACGTGTGGAGAGTGCCCACAGCGGGCTGTTAGCGTGACATGCGGTGCTGTAATATCTCTGAGTCTCCACGTGTACCTACAACACAACGGGTGTGTATTTGAATGCAGTCGTGGAGCGGTAGTGTAGCGGTTAGCGCGCTGCGCTACGAACTCTGCGACCCGAGTTCGATTCCAGCTCACGGCCAAAATCAGTGACAATTATTTGAATCGTTCCTGGGCCTCTCCTGGGTCGACTCAGCCTCGAATGAGTACCTGGGGCGGTGTGTAAACATCGCCGCTAGGGAGACAAAGGCGGCCGGGCATGGTGCTGGCCACCCACCACCTCGTGTGCCGTGCAGGCCTTCACAGGTGCTCGCTAACAGCACTTGCCCCAACAGTCTGTTCAGGCTATACGGGGGATCTTTATCGTTATGTTTGCATGCAGTCGTCGTAACTGGCTTCCACTGACTTTATGGTAAATCCATAATACAGGTTTTTTTTCGGTTAGATCGCGTACATATATAAATGTGTCGTTAAACCCGCCACCACCCGACACAGCCAACTAGTAAGGTTTGTCACGTAAACAGAACGTGGCCAATTCGTCACTAGTACAGCACTAACCAGTTGTGTTGGAGAGCCAAGCCACAACATTTACAATCTGAGTACGACGTGTCGCCAGTAATTACAACTAGCTTCATCAGGCGACAGCCAGATTTGGTAGTGGCCGTTTTACGACACATTTATATATTTACGCGATCTAACCCCAAAAAAACCTGTGTTATGGATGATATTGGTTGCGAAAGTCTACTACGTGTTTAAGTATGGTAAAACTAAATATTTTCACATTCAGATTCGGAATCCTTGGAATTGAAATATTTTAAACTTTAAATTTGGGATGCCAAAACATCAATATATTTTTTCTGATCAAATAAAATAAATAAAAAATCTGATGTCAGATTTTGATTTGTCGGTACCTTCTCAAATCCTTCAGGTACAACCCCCCCTCAATCCCGCCCCCTCCCCCGCCTCCCAAATTAATGAGAATATGATAAACGCTAGACTCAAATCTACTATTTTTCATCTTTATAGCCCTTCTACATGATCGCTACAATCTTCACCAGTCACTCACTCATCTCACGACCCCTCTCCGTGTGTGCTCATGACACACACGGCATGTTTGGGGTGGCTGCTGTTCGTGAGAGGGTGTCGTGGTGGCCAGCAGCACCACGACACCCAGCAGCGTTTGTCCTCCCCCCCACCCCCCCGGTGTTGATGTTTACACACCCACGCCCTGTACTCGTTCAAGGCGAAGTCGACCGATGGGGAGGTTACCCAAAAAACAACTGAATTCAGATATTTCTCCACTTGATCTTAGCCGAGGCCGGGAACAAACTCACGGTCTCTGGGTCTGAAACGCGGCGCGCTAACCACTGCGCCAACGCTCACACGCACACAAACAAAGATCCCCGTATAGCCTTAATAGACTGATGGGGCAAGTGCTGATAGCGAGCACCTACGAAGGCCGGCACGGCACACGAGGGGATGGGTTGCCAGCATCACGCTCGACCGCCTTTATTTCCCCAGTGGCGATGATTTTACACATCGCACCAGGTACTCATTTGAGGCTCAGTCGACCTAGGAGAGGCCCAGGACCGGTTCAGATAATCATCACCGGTGTTGGCCGTGAGCGGGAATCGAACTCGGCACGCCCGGTCTATAGCGCAGCGTAGCGCTAACCGCTACACAAGTTGGAGGAAACCTCCGATTAACACGGTTGGCTACGTACGGTGCGAAAGAAGTTCAGCATATATCCACACAACCACCCTCGTGTAAAAAGTCCCACGACCCAGTGTGGAGCTGTGGTGGCGCACGCCTCCTTTAGGAGGCAAGGGTTGGTGGCTCACTTGCAGATGGGTGACGCAACACACTCACACCTCGCTCTGGGCTGTGAGTGCTATCGTGTTATCGGCTTGCTGAGGATTCTCCGGGTGTTGCTCCGCTTTCCTTCGCGTGCGAAATTAAAGAAAAGAGGAGTCACTCGTGGTTAATGAATTCGGCCAATTACCCCACTGTCGCATCACCCTCCCGGTGAAGAGTCGAGAGCCTCTCTGAGCCATTTGCTGGGCGAGGAAAGGTAAACCCCGTGGCGCTTAGAGGGCTGGTCGGACCTGTCCCCCCCCCTCACCTGCTGCTGCTAAATCTCACCCCCCCCCCCCCGCCGCTTTTATAAATTCCTATCGTCAAGCGTCAAAAAATAATCAGTCGTCGTAATTGTACAATTTAGTGACGAGCCTAACAGCCGTATAGACTGGGGGGGGGGGGGGGGGTAGCATGCACCACACAGACAGGGGACAGATCACATCGTTACCCATTCAGTTTGGCGTTTAGCATTCGTTTGAAGTTTCTTCAACATTGGCTGCGTCGACCCCCACCCTACTGAGCCGTTGTATCCCAGCCACCACTTGAAAGTCAAAGTCGCGCTGCAGGGCTGATAAAGAAATACAATTATTGATATCATCAGCGTCACCATCACATCGTGGCGGTGTTAGATTTCCAGCAGATAAATTAACGAAGCCCTCCCCACCACATCCCCGCCCCCCCTCCCCACTGTGAGACGAGCGCAAATAATGAGCATTGTTTGTCTGCCAGCCACGAATGCGCTCGCGCGTGCCCACGGGGGCCTCATCTACCCTGAAGAGACGCCAGCCATCAATCGTCCGCAAATCTGCGATGGTTCCTCTCTCATCCGACGGCACCGTCCGATGAGAGAGCAGCTCCACCGGCCACGCCGTTTCACGTGGCGGTAGGAGGGGAGACGTACCGCGCGTTTGTTTATTCCGCATGGAGCCAGCGGCTACAAACGCAAATCAATAACTTCAAAGGATAGACGACACAGGTACACACGGACATAACGAGAGAGTGACTGTCAATTGATATACAATTGAATATTTTCAAGGAAACGACGTGTGATTCACCCCCCCCCCCCACCCACCTTCTAATTTCTGACAACATTTATTTGGGAGCGGGTAGGGTACCGGTTGTGGGGGAGACGCAGGGGAGGGAGGGGGAAGGGTGGAGGAGGACGAGGGGGGGGGAGAGAGGGGTGGTGGGATATGAATTGGGGGTGCATCAGCAGCAGCAGCATCAGCAGCAGCATCAGCAGCAAGGTTGGTAACGCGAGTCGAGGTGGGGGCGGGCGGTTCGCGCGCCTGCCCGTCAATATTTTGTAATTTCTCTTCTCTGCCATTCTCCACCGCGCGCATCTCGCTCACGGACGTACAGCCGGCTACGCGCTCCCGTCGCCTCCACTCGCCACTCTCCGAGCCGGTCCAACCACGAACGCCAATCTCCAGCCATATGTTACCCCCTCCCCCCCTCCCCCCTCCCCCGTCCATCACCATCACCCGCCTGCTCTCTGAGTCCTACACCGGGGCTTAAGGACGATGATTCGGCGGTCGAGGGTTGATCTGAGTGTGGGGGTCACGTCGTGAACGAGTTGGAGGCGGACGAGGAGGAGCAGGAGGAGGTGTCTTTTTTGCGGGGCTGAGCGAGGTTTGGAAACGGGTGCAAAGAAGAGGGGTGAGTGGAGAGCACGTCACTCCGGCAATTGGGTGAGTGTGTTGATGAGTGGTTGGTCGTGTTATTGAGTGGGCGAGTGGGTGAGTGAGTGGGTGGTTGAGTTAGTGAGAGGGTGAGAGAATCCAGTGGATTTATGAGCGGTTTGTCAAGTCAGTGAGTGGGCAAGTTAGTGGGCGAGTGAGCGAGCGAGTGAGCGGGGGAGTGAGTGGGGTGGATATTACGAGTGGTTGTTGAGGTGAATGAGGAGCGAGTGGTTGGATGGGTGAGTGGGTGAATGAGTTCGTTGTTGACCGTGTGTTTGAATAATGTGGTGAATAAGGGGCCGACGATGAAGAGTCGCCCTGTTCGTAATACGAGCCTACCTCTCGTAATTGTGTCATGAAAACAATGACCATTATCGAGAACGGCGTTTTCCGAGTCTCAATTAACGTTTTGACGAGGGTTACATCTGTCTTGTTTGGGCACGCGGTACATCCGTGACAAATTGGCTTCGCGTGCAATGAAACCGGCCCAACCGGGAAAAACCCAACCCCAAACGCATTCAAGGAGTAACACTCCACACAGATAGATGCAATGATCCATCCTAGTAGCCCAAGCGGGCTCAGAGCGTGCGTGGGCTTCCTAAAGCAGACGAGGTCGGAGCGCAGTCGGCGTGACTTGGTCTTGCGCAGCGAGCGTGATCGAGTGGAGGGACGCGCGCGCGTGAGTGGGTGAGTGAGTGAGTGGTTTGTCAAGTGAGTGAGTGGGTGAGTGAGTGGATGAGTGAGTGAGTGGTTGAGTAAGTGAGAGGGTGAGCGAGATTACGAGAAGCTGCCCGAGTGAACGAGCCAGTGGGAGTGAGTGGGTGGTTGAGTAAGTGAGAGGACGAGTGAGTGGGTTGTCAAGTGAGTGAGTGGGTGAGTGAGTGAGTGGTTGAGTAAGTGAGAGAGTGAGCGAGATTACGAGAAGCTGCCCGAGTGAACGAGCCAGTGGGAGTGAGTGGGTGGTTGAGTAAGTGAGAGGACGAGTGAGTGGGTTGTCAAGTGAGTGAGTGGGTGAGTGAGTGGGTGGTTGAGTAAGTGAGAGGATGAGTGAGTGGGTTGTCGAGTGAGTGAGTGTGTGAGTGAGTGGTTGAGTAAGTGAGAGGGTGAGCGAGATTACGAGAACGTGCCCGAGTGAACGAGCCAGTGATAGTGAGTGAGTGAGCAGGCGATCGAGTGATATGACGGGTGAGCGACTCACCGAGCGATCTGTGGATGGAGCGGGTGAGCGAGTGACAAGCTGTAGAGTCGACGCGGGCGAGCGAACGAATGAGAGTGAGTGAATGAGGTAGCGAGCGGTGGATGATCGAGTGAGTCAGCTGGCGGAGTGTTGGACAGAGCGAGTGCACGAGTCGACCAACGAGTGAGTCAAGGGGATACTCGAATGGCCGAATGAGACGAGCTTCGTGTGCTAAGCAAAGCGGACGTCATTCTCGTGAACGAATGAATGAATGAATGAACGGGCCAGGCGCGGCTGTTGCGGAGAGAGTGTGGGGGTGAATGAGTTGACGATGGTCGAACGTCCGGGCGAGTGACAGAGGCGATGTCCAGCAGGTGGGTGGCAGAGGCGATTTCTACTTTCTGTCGCGACTGCACGGTCATTCACATCACAGCAACGATGACTCTCCTCGTCTCTCCACTGCTAGATGAAGGCCCTTCTCTCATGATGCCATGCCGCTCATTCGGGTTGTTTAACCGTACTTCATCTGCCTGCGGCTATCGTTGCCGTTGCATGGACTGCCTCGTCTCTAGGATGAACACTCGGGTTTGGAAAAGATTAATCGATTATCATCGATGACTTTTTTTCGGCTCACGAGTCTATAGGCACGTCGAGAGAGAGAGAGAGTCTCGGTCTATTGAGATTTGCACATGGCATGCACAACTGCCTCCTTGGTTATCCACTGCTGGATGACGGAGACCTTCCCCACGCCGTGCGGGTCGCGGTGGACGTTGTTTGACCATACTTCACCGCGCTGGTCACTGCGGTTTGGTGAAGGAGTGGGGGGTGGATAGACGTGCAGCGTCACAATGGATGATGCTGCTCTGCCCTCTGCTGCTCACACCGTTCTTGATTCATGAAAGTGGTTGTTAGCAACATCATATTCTGATAGGGTACCGTATTTAGCACGTAAGCTTTCGCGACCAATATCATCCAAAATACAGGTGTTTTGGGTTAGATCGCGTAAATATATAAATGTGTCGTTAAACCCGCCACCACCCGACGCAGCCAATCCGTAAGGGTTGTCACGTGAACAGGACGTGCCCATTCGTTACGAGTACAGCACGCCGGTGTGTTGGAGAGTAAATCTACAACATTTACAATCCGAGTACGACGTTTCGCCGATAATTACATACTAACACCAAAAATAAACTGTATTCATCTTCTTGGTTCTTTCGGTAAAGTCACGTAGAATGGAAATAGTAAAGTAATAAAAATAAAACATAATATTTATTTTTATTATTTTATTATTTCCATTCTACGTGACTTTACCGAAAGAACCAAGAAGATGAATCCCTGCAGTCACGAAAGCTTTAAATCGAAAAATAAACTGTATTATATTCTACTATTTGAACTTAACGGAGACAACACGAATGAGACGGAGATACAACAGGACCGCCCCCCCCGCCCATGCAAACTAAATTATCATCGATGTCTTTTTTGTGCTGTGTAAATAGAATGGAGGCCCTTAAATTGTTACACTCCATCCAATGGCCAATGCACACACACACACACATCCTCACGTATAACCCCAACAATAGACTTGCTAACAACACTGCCCGAGAGAAAACGTCTACGTGGCGACGTTTCGGGCAATGACCCCTTTCTTTGTAAGCAGAGAGATGAATAAGGGCAATTAGCCGAAACGTCGCCTTGAATCAACGTTTCCTTTTAGGGCAATTGTTATTGACGGATTGATAACCCGGCTCAGCGCTTCCCAACGCCCTGATCCGTGGATCTCTGGTGGGCCGCGAGACTCAGAATCCTTCTTTAGACTGGAAGAATCCGATGAGCAATGAAGCTCTTTATCAGAGGAGTCCAGTAGAGACTACTCCGGTTGGGAGTCCGCGGAAAACGAAAATAAACAACGTCCTCGCCAAGGAAATGTACAATCTCAAACAACCGTTCGTTGCAGCGTGTGGGAGTGATCCGCGAGATATCTGGAGGCTGAAACGTGGTCAGCACACTCGACATGGTTGGGAACCGCTGACCCAGGTTGCATGAGTTGCGCGTTTATAATTGTACTTAGTCGTAGTCAAATTGCAAATGTTATGGGTTCTACTCTCTTAGTTGAAGTAGTAACTCACTGACATGTGTTGTTTACCGGTTGGCTCTGGTGGTGGGTTAACGGCATTCAAATTGACGCGATCTAACCCAACCCCTCCCCCGTTCGTTATGAAATGCACTTAGCAGTGCAAACCCCCTGCCAACGCAGAGTCGCGTGCTTTTGCTGAGACTGTTGTTGTTGTTGTTGCTGTGCCTCGCTGTAGACGGAGCTCCTCACTCGGAGAGGCGTGCAGAGGACGAGACAGCGAGAGAGACAGAGGAGAAGGAGTGACTTCAGTCAGAAGGCGGCGGTGATACATGCGCAGCGTGTTTCCAATGCTCAAGGCAAGATAAAGAACTGCTCATGCTTCAACTCTTTACCCCCACGTTGTCGGGAGCAAGATGAGCCTGGGCACCATAGGGCAGAGAAGATGACGAGAGGGCAACAGCAGCAGAAGCAATCACACTGAGCCACGGATGCCTCCTCCTCCTCTCTCAACGATGACCTCTGGTCCATACGAGCGGCCGAGTGGAGCGGCTGAGGGCTCAAACTCACCGCCGGAGTCTCCCAAAGGTCTAACGCGATGATCCGTGACTGGATCTTCTTAATTTCACATTCGCCTTCGCCTCCTCCTCTCGTTCACCAAAATCGAGACGACGTGGACGACGACGACGCGGGAAAAGAGGAGGAGGAGGAAGAGGAGCGTTGAAGGCCACCAATGATGTCCGAGCTGCATGGACACGAGATCAATGGGTCAGACTCCTCGTGGCCGGGGTTGGAGGCTCGTGGTGAGATCGGCAGCAGCGGCATCATCATCAACAGCAGCAACAGCAGCAGCAATGACACCGCCACGAACGACTGGCAGCTGCCACACTCCACCACCACCATGGTGACCCTCACCCTGATCGTGAGCTTCATCATCCTGGTCACCATCTTCGGCAACAGCCTGGTCGCCATCGCCGTGTTCACCAGCAAGTCCCTCAAAGCCGCACAGAACCTCTTCCTGGTGTCGCTGGCGGCCGCCGACATCCTGGTCGCCACGCTGGTGATGCCCTTCTCGCTCGCCAACGAACTCATGGGCTACTGGGTGTTCGGCAGCTTCTGGTGCGAGATGTACCTGGCCCTCGACGTGCTCTTCTGCACCTCGTCCATCGTCCATCTGTGCGCCATCAGTCTGGACCGCTACTGGAGCGTGACGCAGGCGGTGCGCTACAACATGAAGCGCACGCCGCGTCGTGTCAAGCGCGCCATCGTCATCGTCTGGGTCATCGCCGCCTTCATCTCGTTCCCTCCTCTCGTGGGCACGGGCCGCCCCCCGGCGGATGTCCACCGCCACCAGGGTGCCGGCCGCAACGCGAGCGGCTCGCCCTCCTCCTCCTCCGTGTTGCCCATGTGCAAGCTGAACGAGGAGACCTGGTACGTGCTGTCCTCCTGCACCGCCTCCTTCTTCGCCCCGTGCCTCATCATGCTGCTCGTGTACGCGCGCATCTACCAGGTGGCCAAGGGGCGCGCGAGACGCAGGAGTCGCGGGGGCAGCGAGAGGGAAGCGCCCTTGGCCGAGCTGCAGCAGCAGCAGCAGCAAGAGCAGCAGCTGCAGCAGCAGCAAGAGCAGCATCTGCAGCAGCAGCAGATGCAGCATCTGCAGCAGCAGACGCAGCAGCAGACACAACAGTTGCAACCACAGCAACAGCAGCTGCAACAAAATCCGAGTGCGTTCGAATCGCAAGCGGATGAATTGCGCCCTCTTTTTCCTCCTCCACCTCCTCCTCCTCAACACCCTCCTCCTCCACCTCCTCAAACCCCTCCTACTCCTCCACTCTCGACGACCCTCGCCCCGTGCGCGCCACGGCAGAACGGGCAGTGTGTGCGCGACGCTGCTGGAGGAGATGGCAGCTCGGCTCTGGATGAGGACGTGTTGGTGGAAACCGCGGAGCAGACAACGCATGACCTGCAGCAGCAGCAGGAGGAGGAGGGGGAGGAGGAGGATGAGACTGGAACCCTTCGCGCAACGCGCGTCTCCGTGATGGACGTCGTCAGTAGCAATGGCAGGCAGTCGCACCTTTTCGCCGCGAGGCAAGGAGGGTTTATTGGCCACGAGACGACAATGTCAAACGGAAAGCACCTCGTCGAGGGTGGTGGTGGTGGTGGCGGAGATGTTGTGATGATGCAGGAGGAGCAGGCGGCAGCGGTGGCGGTGGTGATGATGGATGAGAAGAGGGATGAGAAGAGGGATGAGAAGAGGGAAATGACGGAGCGAGGGGAGCGCAGCGGCCCCTCCCGGCCGTGGTCTTCACGAACCGTGGTGGTGGCGGCGGCGGCGGTGGAGGTGGAGGATGAGGAGAGAGACGCCGAGACGGAGGCGGGAGACGACTACGACGACGATGATCCCAGGCCGCAGGGGAGCCTCTCGCTCAGGTGTGACGAGGAGGGACGACGAGGAGGAGGAGGCTCCAGCAAGCTGGGCCTCTGCAGCACCAAGATGGCCAGACGCAAGCTCACGGCGGCTCGTGAGAAGCGCTTCACGTTCGTGCTGGCCGTGGTGATGGGAGTGTTCGTGGCCTGCTGGTTCCCGTTCTTCTTCTCCTACAGCCTCACCAAGATCTGCGAGGCGTCGTGCAAACCTCCCGAGTACCTCTTCAAGTTCTTCTTCTGGTGCGGCTACTGCAACAGCTCGTTGAACCCGCTCATCTACACGGTCTTCAACCAGGACTTTCGACGAGCCTTTAAGAACATCCTCTGTCGAAGGCGCCCACGGATGCGCTGATGCGTCTAACAATGACAATGGCCACGATTGTGATAATGATGATGATTTGCATCGCATTTGTTGATGCATTGCTCGATGAAAGTCCCACCACGTCATGCTGTTCATGGGGTGGGTGGAGTTGGTGATGGAGGGGGGGGGGGGTCCTTGACCATACTTCACCAAGCTGGTCAGTGAAAGGTTGCGAGTGCGAGCCGTGTTGTGCTCAAGACAGCTTTTCAAAGATGTCTCACTCGCCACTGATGTTAGCCCGTGGCCAGGGAATTCGACCGCACTTCAGGAGCCGGGGCTCATGGCGCAGTGGCACAAACCGCTGCGCAACCGCTCCCCGTTTTGATAGACCGCGTTGGTAATGTTACTGTAACGAAACAACAACACCGTGAACGCGAACGAAAAAATGCGAAACTCCATAAACACAGCGAGGTACGGAGGTCTTTTTGATTTTCACGCGACAATTCTGCACCTCACGGAAGGAGGGGAGTGGGAGATGATCAAGCCGAGGTTACTCTCAGACGGACGATGCCATTGTTGGGCAGTTTTTACAACAACAAAAAAGGAAAATTGACCCAACAACAACATCTATGACGGGGAGAAAAAAAAGGAATGCCCCTACAGTATATATTTTTGTTGGTACGATTGTCAGCTGACAGCGGTTATGTGCGGTGGTATCGTGCTCTCGGTGCTAGTGGCATCCGAGTCTTCGTGTGAGAAGGCAATTCTGTTTGCCCTGTTCACTGACAAGCCACAACTAGCGGTGCGACTGTGACCTTGCAACCCAAACTGTGGACCGTGGAGTTAAACCGCTGTTGTTTGCGCTCCTTCGACGGGGAGGAGGAACGGCGACACGACACGAACTCTCGGCTGAAGCCCTCTCGTCGTGGCTAGCAGACCTCCACATTGATATTTACCTCCCGAACACATCGCTGCCCTAAGCGAGAGGAGACAAGATCATTGGTTCGTGGCTGTAAGGGGTTTATCACCCCCTCCCTCTCTATCCCAGATTCGCAAACCTCAGAATCATAATTCAGACTGGAGGAATCCGATGAGCTATGAAGCTCTTTTCCACAGATGTCCAGTATGGACGGGCGAGTCAGCCTCAAGAGAACTAAATCTGACTCGGGGTCAAGCAGGGCCAAGGGTGGAGCTATTTCAACACCTCGAGACAGAAGGGTATTAACAAGCCATTTGATTTAACTGTGAAAGTATGTATTGATATTAACGCAAAGGTATTATGTTAAAACGTACATCTACAGCACAATAGCACGTGCATTTAGGTGCAGTATTAACAGGCTTAGTCGAGAGACGGTGTAGCCAAGGTGGTACTGAAAACAAACCCAAGTGTGAGTGAGATATTCAAAGTCGCATCTCATGCGTGCTTGGTTCAAGCCAAACCACCTCATTGTCCTGTCCGCTCAGCTACAGCTCCTCCACCAGCTATTATGAACCCCCGCCACCCTGAGCCACCCGGCCACTCTCCACCCTCTCGTATTTAAGAGAGATGCAGTAGACCGCATCCACCCATGCGGAGAGTTTTTCGTTCACATTTGAGGCAAGATGAAAATGTAGGGGGCAGATTTCACAAGGTCACGCAGTGGCCTCCTCTTTGCCAACAATGTCGTGGGCTCTTTGATAACTCTGCTTTTGCTTTCTTGACCCTCACATAGCCAGAAGCCACCGAGAGCTGTTTGTGGGGTTGTTGCTCCTCTTCTTCTGGTGTTAACGGATTTATTTTCTCCAAACACCGCACGTTCCCTGTGGTTATAGGGGCAGCATTGTTATCGTGACTGTGGGCCTCCTCCCTGCCGCGTGCTCCTCCCTCCTTGCAATGTGGTTCAAAGCATCGCTCGCGTAATCACCGCATGGTCTATTGGTTCATAAGTGCACAATAAAAACCACACACACAGCTTGAAGTGTGTTTACGTTCCGAATGTTGCGTCACGTGTGCGGCTTCACCACTTCCAGCAGCCAAACCTGCCTTCAGGCAAAGCTGTGTTTGAATTACAAAGGCTGCACATGCGTATAGGCCTGCCTGGTTGCGGTCAATATTTGTATGAGATAATATATAAGGGTGCTACTCCAAGTTGATAGTTTTATTTGCATGGACTTTTATCGTTCACATTTCCCCAATATTCAACCACTGGGGTACAATCTGCAATATAATTATACGTGTGTTTTTAAATCAAATTTATGATACTTTAAAGGCACCTCCTTATTTCAGTGTAGTGTAATTTATCCAGCAGTGCCAGAGTCTAAGGTCTCTCTTCTTTTCGGAGATTTGCTGATTTTTTTTGATGTTTGGCCAATTTCTATTCACGGAGATACTTTGTCGGTCTATAGCATTTCCAATACACTGTGTGTAATCTTCGTATTTCATACATTGTGTGATTTGCAAAGCAAAGTGTGGATTTAAGCTCAGGTGGCCAGGGGGGCTTAACAGCCGTGTGAGAGCAATGAGTTTGACATTACTGTGACCCCTGGTTTGAGCCGCCCTGGTTTAAATACATTTATATATACTATGGGCATAATATAGTATAATGTATGCATTCATGGTCTCAACTCAGTCACCAATTGATGCCCCAAAAAAATCACCATCACCCACTTAATATGGATCATTCAAGATTTGATTGACAGGCGACGAATACTGTTTGCACGGCTATAAGCGCACGTGTCCGTGACAATGCAAATTGATGTGACGTCAGAAGTGGTTCTGTGATGCCATCTTCCAGGGCCGTTCTCGTGGCACAAGGATGTGCACTGCTCGCTGAATAGAGCCCCGAATAGAAACGTCTCTTTATCTCATGACAGTGACATGCTCATAGCACACAATCAATATCATTAAATACCGTCCTGACTGGAATTGTGTTCCAAACGCCCTGCAACCTCACGGTGTCTTTCATGAACTACAACGCAAGCAGACATTTGTTGAACAGGCTACACTCTGCTGATGGCAAAAAAAAGCCGGTCCAGAGTTTGCCCGCTTGAACAAATGCTGCTGGAAAAGAAAAAAAAAAACCCCACAGACCACTGGTCCAGAAGGCCCACAGGCCGACGGAACGAAATGTCATTTCATTTTATTGTCACGTGACAAAACAGACCCTCGTCTGTTTTGTTGTTATTGTTGTTGTTTTATTGCCCCGTGGGGCTTGCACCGGGGCGGCTCTGACTCGAGTCATCAAACGCGCTGCACGCTTTGCGTGGCCACCGCGGCGACGGACGAAGGGGTTTTGCGGAAACCAGCGGGACTTTGCGGCCGCCTCAAAGGGCTCCCTCCACACCTCCTCTCGCTCCTCTCCTCCACCGCCGTTCGATTTCGATGTCACTTCCCTGTGCCCGGGCTGGCTGTGTTCTGGGGGGTTTTTTTGTGCCCGAGCGAGAATAATTGTTGTTGCCTAAATGTCATCATTGTGTACCTGCGCGTGCCGGCTGTCGGCATCTGCGTCAAACTGCCCCCCAACCCCCACCGACAAATATCGATTCCAAGATGCGCCCACGCACTTCATTTCGTAGGCGAACAAAAATAATGGGCCAAGAAAATTGTGCTTTGAATCTGAACGAAGAAATCACGCGTTAATTAATCAGGCGAGCAATTAGACTTGCTGACATATATAGGTCAATGGTGTTTTGTTGTTGTTGTTGTTGCTGCTGCTGCACAAGCCAACCACGAACAGGTCTCGACGTTACCGGGGCTCATCAGCAGGGCGGGGTCTATCACGCCAATGCCAGATGACAGACACATGTAGTGGGTGGAAACTTTCCGTGAATATTGTGGCGACCTTACAATTGGGTTGAAGTCGAGCAAGGATGATGCCACACATGTATGTAATTGCCTCCTTGCCCCCCCCCACCCCCCTTGCTGCGAAGGCAAGGATTGGTGGATCACGTAGAGATGGGGTGAACTCCCAAACCCGGGGGGCTGTGAGGTTGGCCAGGATATTGCAGTACAGAAAGTGGGTTCCTCAACCCATTTGTGCAGACCCGACATTGTTAGCCTGTCCTTCCCCCGCACCTCTGATAACCACGGTTGACTACGTAGGGTGCGAAATAAGTTCAACAAACATACAACATACACACCCATGTGTTCTCCTCCGGGAACTCTGACTTCCTCCGAAATGAAAAATAAATATTTCAAGGCAAGAGCCTCCTGCATGAGACCCTTAATGCTTAAGTGATACTCTCCTGGGTACATAAATTCAATTATTTGATTGTAACAACGATTTCTATTGTGTAAAACAATCTCTCGCGTGACTGAGCCGTCTTATTACATATTTTTTTTCGCAAAAGAGGCTTAGAAACGTCGATCGTAGTGACTCTGCCACCATCCCCCCACCACCACCTCCACAATATTGGCTCCAGCTTCCCACGTCACCCATCTCTGCCAACCGCATCGTGTCCAATCGGCGGGGCTTACCTGCCCCTAAATTGGACATGTGCAAACATCACGCACCACCGTGGCATTTCACAATTCGCATGTTTGTAATAAAAGAAAAACGGGAAATGTTACTGCATATTCCGCGAAGGAGCTTTGTTTGTGTCATGGTAGGAGTGGGGAGGGGAGGAGGGTGGCTATAACAGAGGCCAGGGTTGCAGGCTGAGTACGTGAACGCCATCTGTGAGATAACAAACAGCTCTCTGCTGTCGATGTGGGTGGAAGCTGGCCCAGCGAGTGTTGGGGCAAGGCTGCTTGCTCTAGCAGATAATATCTCCACACAGTCGAGCAGGACGGATGGGCTGTGTCTCTCGCTCGCTCTCTCTCTCTCCTACCCCATGGTGCCTTTGGCGCCGAGTCGATGGTGGCTGTGCCCTGGAGGAGGATGAGTCAGTTGGGTGAAGTTTGTAACCGCGGTACGGCTGATGAGACCGGTGCGGGCGGTGCGGTGCAGACACGCCGGGTAACGGGAGCGGGTGGGAGCCCGAAGCTAACTGTTGCTGTTTGCTGACAGCCAGCACTCTCTCTGTCTTCCTGGTCTCCGTAGCCACAGCCTCGCGATGATTTTCAGCATTTGGCGGAATTCATGTTATGCTGTCTTAGAGCCTTGTTTTAAAAATATATATATTCTTTGGTGATGCTGTGTCGGCAGTGGTTCACAAGCACATTTGACAATATTTACATATTCTTTCATAGCGTGTAATGTGTTATAAAACGGGGACATTTCTTGAAATGTTACCCATTGTATGTTTCTCTTTTTAGGCCGCAGTGTTCTTTCCGTGAACGTCTGGCAGTTCACCAGCGTTGACGAAAGCAAGGCTGACTGCTGATGAAACTGTGTCGATGTTGCTGAAAGGATTCACTCCCAAAAGGCCGTGGGGCTGATGGGTTGTTTAAAGAATACTTGTATTCCTTTGACGCAAAGAGATGGGTAAATGAAGAAGACATTGTCTGATAATTTGTAATTTTTTTTTATTGTGGGTGAGCTTTGTCTTCCGTGAAACCTGTGCGCGCCCAAACACACACACACCTGCCCCTTTATACCGCTCACCTGCTCACCTGCTCACGCTATTCATAGCCGTGGTGGGATGTGGTAGCCTGTAGGGACAGACTGTGTGTACATGTGTGTGTATTTGTTATCGCGCTGTGCTACGAACCCGCGACCCGAGTTCGATTCCCTAGGTCGACTCAACCTCAAATTAGTACCTGTTGTGGTGTGTAAACATCGCCACTAGGGAGACAAAGGCGGCTGGGCGTGGTGTTGGCCACCCACCCCCTCGTGTGCCTTGCCGGCCTTCATAGGTGCTCACTAACAGCACTTGCCCCAAAAGTATGTCAAAGGCTACACGGGGAATATGTGTATGGATAGGGCAGTGGTGTAGTGGTTGGCTTACAGCAATACGAACCCGGTGACCTGAGTTCAATATCCGCTCACGACCAATAACAGTGGCTAACAGATTAACCGTCCTGGGCCTTCCTGAGGTCTACTCGGCCTTAAATGAGTACCCGTTGCGTATCAGCACTAGGGGGGAGATAAAGGTGGCCCGGCTGTGGTGTAGGACCCAGCCACCTCATTGCGGCCTTTATAAGTGCTCGCTTTACAGCACTTGCCCATTCCACCGACGACGATGACACGGGGTGACAATCGCCGTGCATTTTGGACGAACCCCCGTTGGCCAACGCGACGAGGTGACCTGTGCAAGGCAGTGCAGCAAGTAGGTTGCGAACGTGACTTTTCTCATTAATTTTGATCACTTTTCTTGAATGGGCGAATATTCCCAAAACAATCTTCGACAATGCCGTTTGCTTGTCCTCCCCGCCCCCCTCCCGCACCTCCGATTAGCACGGTTGGCTACGTACGGTGCGGAAGAAGTTCAACATACATACACGTACACACGTTGTGGGAAACGTTTGTCTTAAAGACTCCTGTGTTGACTTGAGTTTGACCTTTCGAAAAGTTAAAACACGCACGCATATGTATAATGTAACATTATAATGCAAATTAATTATTTAAACAAATGCTAAATAGCCCTGTTAGAGGAAGCAAAACTGCTGGGTGTGGTTTTCAAAATAGGCCCCTTGTGAATTGTATAAGCGCCATATTTGTGTCAGTTGAGAATAATGAGTCACTTAATTAAAATAAATCAGAGCAGAAGCCCTCCGCAAGTGTATGAATAATTGAATTCTGGGGGGTAATAGACGGCCTAGTTGCCTGAGCCCTGGGACCCGCCACTGTCGCCTCTCGCTCTGCGCTCCTCTTCGCTGATCCACGTGGAGTCACCGTGTAGGCGAAATGCATCGTTGTAATAATCATCGTCATCCATGGTCCATCCACAGCTAGATGAAGGCCTCCCTTCACTGAGACGTCTCAACACTTGTTCTTCAGGAGGGTCCTGCATTGGGACGTTTGGCCAGTTCGACCGAGCGTTTGTTTAAATGGACGGATGAGACGGAAGGATTCT